ACACCCACGACCTCTTCCAGAGCTGTAATAGTGGTTGTGATTGTGACCAATAGAATTTGAATTTGGATTACACTCGTTAGCCATAGCAGCACCCGAAGCCACAGTATGTGGCATGCGTTTCTATAAGTGTTCTTCTTGTAAAGCAAGGTCATAAAATTGGTTGAAACCAATATCTGGATGCAAGTGAAGTGTGGTGGCTAACTCCTTGTATGCAAGCCCAAGTCCATCCAGAACATAACTGACGAATTCATCATCATCCATTGTTGCACCAGCTTGTGTGAGGGAACCAAGGAGTGATTTGACATGGTTGAGATAATCAGTCACTGTTGTGTTGTTATCCTTTCTGAGGGTGTGAATTTGATCTCGAAGAATCCACACACGGGTACTAACAAGAGGTGAGAGATGCTTGCCCAACAGGTTCCAAGCTTGATGAGCGGTGGTACACGGGATGAGAAGAGTCTTGATGGAAGGAGAGGAAGTCGCCTTAATCCAACTCAGGACCAGTTTATCCCTGGCTAATTCAGGATGCACAGAACCATCTTCTTGCACTTTGGGTGGATCTGTGGTTTTCTTGATGACCTCTGCATGGCCATGCATCTCCAATACATCTTCAAATTGAGATTTCCAACTCAAGTAGTTGGTTCTGTCCATAGGAATTGGAAATAGAGATGAGATGTTGAATGAGGTGGGCAAGGAAAGGGATGAGAATGAAGGTGAGGCAAGTTTTGACATTTCAGAAATCAGCCTTGTCATATCAATATTACTTGATTCTATAAATTTGGGTGTGTTTGCCATTTGATTGGGTAGGATCGAAATTCTTGAGCTTTGGCTCCGAAGAGCTCTGATACCATATAAGAAAACAGACTCAAGAAGGAAGAAGGAAGAAGGAAGATGAGAGATAGAAGTATAGAGCAATTGAACTGACCAAGATGATTTTGGTCTCTGTATTACAGCCGTATATATCATGTACAGGAGGTAGACTTTCTCAAGTCTATTTACAGAAAATAAGCAATACAAGGTAAGT